ATATATATATATATATATATATATATATATATATGTAATATAACGCGGCTTGTGGATACGATAGCGTCTACAATTCTCAACGGATTTAGATGAAACTCGGTACACATATTCTTTGGGTAATTACCTTGAACGAGTTTGAAGATGAGCAAAATCACGTTTTCGGTTACTTTATTGATGTATAACTTTTGATTGAACAAAGATAGCTAATTTTTGAAAAATTCATGTGATAGCTCATAAAATTACCTTCAATTTGATGCATATAACATTGACATTTTGACCATTTTTAGTTATTTTATCAAAGTTAAGAGTGCAACTGAACCATTTTCAGGCAATGTGTAGTACAACCGACTTATGAATGTTATTCTATCGAGAATTCTTAACAGATCCTAACGAAATTTAGTATATAGATTCCTTGGACAATTAGCTTGCATGAGCCCTAAAATGAACAAAATTCGTCAATAAGTTTAGAAATGGTAGCTCCTCAAAATTATCAAAATAGTGAAAATCACGTTTTCGGTGACTTCATTGTTGTATAACTTTCGATTGAAAAGAGATTGCTAATTTTTGATAAATTCATTCAGTTTCTGATAATTTTTGATAATTCCATTCAGTGAAATCTACCTTCCATTTCGGGTGTAGCCGAATGGCGTTTTTTTAATATGAATTTTTTATAACATCATACCGATATTCTTTTTTATGATTTTAGACGTTATTATTTATTATGAATTTTTTTTATATTGTAAAATCTGAAATTTTGGTATATTTTTAAAATACATTAAAAATAAATAATATATACAAAAAACAGCCAGTAGTTAGCTATTGAAAAAGTATTTTTCATTGGGGTATTATATTATTATATATTCTACGTCGGATTAAGCATGTATTTTACAATCTGACAACCTTGAAATACCCCTTCAATTGCTGAGTTAGTATTAACCCACATTGGCTGTCCTTTCAGAAAAATGAAATAGACCAACTTCATTTCATAATAAATTAACTAAATTAAATTTTTAAAAATCACTTAAACCAAGAATTTTTCACAATAATTTAATTAATCAAAAAATATTAATTAACGTTTTTCATGTAACAATTAATGAGGATTTGTGACAAGAAAATAATTTATCAAATATTTCCAAAAATTCTATTTTTTAGCTGTATAACTCTAAATTTTTCTCACTGTAACTTTCTTATTGAAAAAAAATTTTTTTGATTTAGAGAAAAAAAAATTTTAGATAGACAACTTGCAAATTCTTAATCAAAATTGTTTTTTCCCAAAACTGGATAACTTTTTTTTAACCAGAAAGTCAACATGACAAAAATTTTTATTTCTTCAGATAAGAATTAAAATTGTTTAAAATTTTCAATAATTAATTTTTTATCGTGACAATGCCCATTTTTTTTTCACAAGCAATTTTTTCTTTCGGCGTATAGATAAATAAATTAAAAGTAATATTCACTATAGATAATTCCAGTTTCTTCAGTGTATTGGGATTTAAAAAAGCTCCAATTGTTATAATCATCAATAATTGTGTCATTAATTTTCTCCCAAAATGACGGCGCGTATGCTGTGTACGGATTTAAAGTTATTATGTCAATCGATCTTTCTTCTTCTGAATTTTTGCAGCAATAAAATTTTGAAGTTTCAAACAAGGAATAAAAATATCGGAATATTTTATTCATTAATGTTGTATGGGAATTATGTTTTACGAATACAACAATCATTTCTAACTGAATTGTCAGACTGTCTTTTTTAGCAAATTTGGGGAAGGAGCCTGATGGTTCAACAATGACTATTAAAACATTGATCCTTCGATTAAAATCCTCTAAGACTAGATTTTCGTTGTTTAGCAAAACAATATTATTTACGATTTTGTCGTCCAGTCTCCGTAATATTTCATCACCACTCCAGAATCCAATTGTTCCGAATTCCGCTCCGCAGTTATTGAACAAATCTCCCTAATTTTTAACAAATCAATTCTCAGTAAATTAATAAAATATTAATTATTTATAAAATTTACCATAATTTTGTTGAATAAAGTGATTCTATCTTCAGGCGCGACATCAATTTTTCCGAGTGCAAAGTTATGAATTAGCAAAGCAATAATCTCTATTAATTTTTTCATTTTTTTAATTTCGTTATTTCTATTAAAGACCGAATTCAATAGCTAACTGAATTTAGCAAATTTTTTTTCTTACATACATATACCATATGTTCTCTGCTACCCCTAATTTATAAATCTACTATCTAGATTTTCGTCATCAACCTTTCACTCAAATTTATTTACAATTTCTCTACTTCCGTGATTGACAATCAAAATATATATCACGCATTACATCACGTCTCGTACAATGACAGCCGTAAAGATAGAAAGTAAACTCTGAAAAAATAAAAAATAATAATATCAGTGTATTTAGTTAAAGCTTTTATACTTTTTATACAATCAAAAAGCCTACACCAAAAAAAAAGAAATTACTCAATTAAGAGAGATAGCCACTGTGACGAATCAAAAAAAAATTTTTTTTGACATTAAATTAAAGTTTCTACGTTCAAAAATATGTGTATAAAATTTTAGATCAAAATTTTCGGAATCATATAGGCACTTTAGTGAGAGCAGGTGTAGACGGACACTATATGGAGATTAGGAAGAAGAACCCTTATATGGCCCAGGACTTGATAATTTAATTTGAACATAAATATTTTATGATATACATGATTTTAGAGTAACGCAAAGTAAAATAGACTAAAAACTTTAAAGGTGTTTTTCTCAAAACAACTTTTTTTAAACTGGTCGCATCAATATAACTCAAACAAATATAAACCAATTTTCAAACTTTTTTCGTTTTGTTCGTCTTTACAGTGGGTAAGGGTGCACATAGCCGATTTTGAAAATTTTGATTTTTAAGATTTTTTAAGGCTTTTTGAATCCAAAAAAAAAAAAAGCTCAAAAATATGAAAAAATTTTCAGTCAGTTGCTCATTTGTTTCAAATCAAAATAAAAAAATCGGCTACATGTAACGATATCTACATTGTTACAGATTATTACGTAAATCAAATTTTTATAGGATGACCCGTTTTCGAGATAACTATTCGACCATGGAGGGGAAATTTGTTTTGAAGCTGGACAAGAATGTTCATAACTTTGTAATAATTTGATATTTCTTTTATCAAAATTTTGCTCTTTTTAACGTATCTAGTTTTCTTAATATGAGAAGTTAACCCATCAAAAAATAAATAAAAATTCTAAGATCAATAAAATATCTGTTACTTGCTATATCGTAAAATAAATCTCAAAATGGGTTACCCGGGAAAAAATCATCATGCATGAACATGTACGATCAGGCGTTAATGTCATGCATGTATATTTGCCAGACATGAGCTTGTATGGTCATGCATGACCAAGCATCATCAGAACTAATCAGTCATGATCATGCTTTTCCATGCCTGGCAAACGCGGGAAAAATGACCATGCCTGATCAGGCATGAGCAGGTATGATCAGACGTGAACAGGTATGTTCATGTCTGACTGAATCAGGTCCATAAAAAAAAAAAAA